CACAGGACTGTCATCACTACTCTCCCGTCTCATCACAGGGCTGAGATAAGTGATGCATAAGTGATATGCAAAGTCTAAAAATCATGATGTTTCCCTTGGATTTTAGTTGCTTCTTGATACCCAGCATAGCAAATGTTGGGTCTCCTGTTCAGGGTAGGAATCAGACATTGCTGGCGTCTGTGATAAGTGAAATGTGGAAATACAAGAGAACATTTATAATAAGGTATTTATGAAGAAGACTGAGAGGAAAGGAGAAACTGGAAAGCCAAAAGAGAGAATGGGAAATTAAAGGATTAATTTCCAAATGGAAATGTAAAGAGGGAAATGAAAAACTGAAATGGACTTCAAATTTGCAGATGAAAAGAAACAGGGAGAAAGAAAGTAATGGCAATGAAGCAGAGAGGTTGCAATGCAGAGTTCACTAGGTGGGCTGATAGTGCCTGAACCTGCATTATACAATGGGACTAAAGGTGAACAACTTCCTGTAATTAGACAGAATGGTGGAGAGAAAGGAAGCTGGACTCTTCCACCTCTCCCCATCTCAGACCTCTTTTCCAACTCTCTCATTCCTAAGATTTAAATATTCTTAATGAAGTGAGCAGTTCACAGATTGTCCAATGAGCTTGCCATCAACCCCACTTTATGGTCTCCTACAAAGGTCACCTCGACACCTGATACTCATTATTTCCTGGTGCCACACACAACTTTTGAAATGAATACCTTATTACACAACTCGAGCGAAATGTGGTGATATTTTGCTTGTACGGACAAAGCTTGTCTGAGGATCAGAGGGTAGAGCTTGCCACTAGGCTAATCACAGAGATCTGGAGGTCTGCAAAGACAGACAGGAAGTGAGATGGCTGGGCAGAGAGAGGATATAGGGGGGAGGAAACAGGAAGTCCATCTCTTTTCCCATGGGAAGCTAATGATGTAAAGGTGGCTTTGGCTTGCTCCTTCCTCTCTCTGATCTCTCAGAATTTTCCTCTATGTATGATTCCAGGTTTTTATTATTTTAACCTATTAGGATTTGGGTTACAGTGAAGAGATAGGAGACAGTGAACACCACCTTAGTTGAGCAAGGTAATGACTCTGAGAGTAAGCCTAACATGGGAACTGGGAACACACAGGCAGGGAGGGACAGGTCCTGTGAAACCTTGGACAGGGGGAAACTGCCAGAAAGTGCTGTGTTATGATATGCAACTCAGGTGGGACATTGATGGAAGCCCCATGGTGGTGAGGGACAAACACTCCAAGCAGACAGAGCTTAAGTGGGAAGATTCTTTGGGGAGGGGAGGAAGGGAGTGAGAAGGGAGAGGGAGAGGGGGAGAGAGAAGAGAGAAAAAGACAGAGATAAAAGAGAGACAAGACAGAGAGAGAGAGAGAGAGAGAGAGAGAGAGAGAGAGAGAGAGAGAGGGTAGACCTTGTCTCTTGAAGGAAACTTTTGTGGCTGGGTACAGCTGTAGTCAGGGTACTGTTTGTCATGTGCCCCAAGGGGCGGGACGAGCTGTGCCTAGATGCTAACATGCTGTCCCTATGACCCAAAGGGATCTTCTAGGAAAGAGTTTATAGATTATAGAAGTAAGCACAGAAGAAAGAATGTTCTGTTAGAAGAACGTGTGAGAAGCTGGCAATTACTCCAATTGCAAGTGGGTCCATACAGCTGGGAGCCTAGAAAGCCCATCAGAAGCCTTGTCACAGAAGTGCCTGCATTTGGAATTGACCCAGAGAAAAGTGTGGGGTTCTAGAGCAGTTATATGCCGAGTATTGACTGTGGTCAGTTTTGTGTTCAGAAATCATTTTGATGGCAGCAGATGGTACAGAAGTGAGGAAGTTAAGGCGGGCTGGGTGTTCACTGTGAGAAGGGACGGTGTTCTGTGAGGTAGAAAGAAGCGGGCAACATGAGGAGACACTGATGTGTCATAGGGAGTGGAACCCAGACCTGGTAGCCGGGTAAAGCCATGGCATGAGAAGGCACACGAAGAGAAATACCCAGTTCTTTGTCCTGGGTAACTGGATGGGCAGCAGTGTTCCCAGCATTCTAGATGCTCTAAAAACGCCTTGTAAAATAAGTCAGAAAGATGTGAATGGTCATGATTTGCTTTCCTCCGCTCAACACTGTTTACATGTTCTAGGAAAGAAGCCGGAAGCTGTGGAATAACGACCAAGAGTAATGGGCTGGGGTAGAGGAATCCGAAAGACCAACGAAGGCTGGCTGCCACAAGTAGTCAAAGGTTCTGGTGCCCTTTTAGCAACCCTGGGAAGTGCGATGATAACATCCCATCCGAGAGGGCAGATAGAGATGCTGAACTGAGCACAGGCTGAAAACATGGAACAATGAGGATAGAAGAAAAGAAGAAGGCAAGGTAGAGAGCAGCGTGTGTAGATAACGCAAGTGCTATCAAAATCCCTCCTAAAGGCACAGGGTGAACAGGGAAGCCATGATGGGCCAATCTGAGAATACAGGCGGGATAAACAGTGCAAAACAAGTAATCGGTCACGACAGAGAAACGGATGAATGGGAGAGTCTTTCACTAAATGTGGTGCTCATGAATTCCCAGTGCCAAAATGGCCCCAGACAGAATTGCTCTTTGCAGAGAGTTGGTAAGTATGACTGGCACAAGTGTCACCAGGGTGAACACGTATGTCATGGGGTGGGGAAGAGCACCCCCTTAGTTCCAGCCGTTTGGGTGCCTGAGGCCGCAGTGTACGGTGTGAGGCCAGCTTGAACAATTTAAGCAAGACATAGCCACATAACATTAAAATAGGGCTGGCTAGTGGCTCTAATTCAGTGGAAATGTACCTACCTGCCTAGCATGGGCAAGACTTCGGATAAATGCCCCGAACATACAGCAAATGATAGAAAGAAAGAGAGAAAGGAAGGAAGGAAGAAAGGAAGGGAGGGAGGGAGGGAGGGAGGGAGGGAGGGAGGGAGGGAGGGAGGGAGGGAGGGAGGAAGAAAGAAAGAAGTCCAAGTCCAATAAGGGGAGTTCAGAGAAAATCGTCAAAGCAAAATATGCTGGCATCAGAGAAATGAATGAAAAGGTGACACTATTAAGAAATCAGGGTTAATTTTATGGAGGAAGAACTGGGGGGGAGGATGCTAGAAGTGTTGTCATGATGAAGAGGAAACTGATATAGATAACGACTGGGAAGCCTATTCCAGAAAAGCATTCGTTTTTTGAGTAGATTTGCTATAGCTGGAGACAGGCGCACAGCAGTGGTTTTCTTTCTGTTCACCATTCTCTCACCAAAGTAGAAATGGGGGTGGGGCAGTATGGCAAGGTAGGGGCTGGGAAAGAAATAGTCACAAGCTTTCTCTTTGTTAACAACTTAAAAATAAACACATTTGAGGCTTTAAATCATGAATGGGTCTGGAGGCTTCAAGGTCATTTCGAGTTCTCTCACCACGATACTTTGGACACCTTGTATGTAGTTACTGAGCATCTCCATAAGGAACTCTCTGAAGTGGCCTCACATTTGAACATCTTCTAAGTGCTTCCTAGGAGGAAATATAAAAATTCCTTGCCAACGAGAGTCTGGGTACAGAAAAGTCCATCGGTCAGACAAATCGATGCAGAAAGCTTGGGGTTTCCTATGAGACCAACAGCACACACAAAATGCCAGAAACTGGTGAGTAACAGGTGTGGGTGACAGGAGTTACATATAAAGGGTTTCATCCACACCCTGCTTTGTGGCTTTTCCTCTGGTGCCACCACCACACCTATGAGTTTCGCTCATTAAAGCAATAAAGACATAGGGTAAAACTTGCTGACAATCCATACAAGGAGCAACGCGCAGACTCAATTTGAAGACTGGGCGTGTGTGTGTGTGTGTGTGTGTGTGTGTGTGTGTGTGTGTGTGTGTTTCTATAACAGGCACACATCTGTGTGCGCATATACTTGATTATTGTTCTTGTTGCTTGACGGCATCTTCCTAGGTGTCCCTAGACGTCCTATTACTGGTTTTGGAGCTTCTGCTGGCTTCAAACTCAGGGCAATCCTTTGGCCGCATCCTATAAAGTGCTGCTATTCCAGGCCTGTGCTGCCATGCCCGTGTTAGCTATTGCGTTTTCCACCTGACCTACGTGTGAGCTGATGGGTGTGATTTAACTTGTCTTCAGATGGATTTTGAGAAATGTTCCTCCCTTTGTTCCACTTAAAGAACGTTGACACTGAAACCAAGACTATAATGGGGATGCACGGAGGTAAACTGAGGCAGGGGACTTATACATAGCATACTTTTTGTTGTTTTTTTTGTTGTTGTTGTTTTATCTGTTGTGTGTTAAAGGGCAGTGGCAAAGAGTACATGAGTGAGGGTTAAATGAAAAGGCTCTGTGTGGAAACATGATGCGGGTAACATCGTATGTAGACACAGCAATGATACATATCTCGAAACTGGAAAAGCATCTGTCGGTCCTATAAACTACAGTTTACGGAGCGCTTCCTGGGCACTGAACTTTTCTGTCCATCATTGGCGGATATCCTCTTAGGGATTCCCAGAACAAAGTAGGAAAGATTCAAAGCAACCCTCCAGGGATTCACGGCCAGCCATTGACTCCAACTTGTCACACGACCCTGGGTGGCATGTTTAAAATCCCATTAGAGTCCCCTTTAAAACAGGCATCCTGCTTTCCAGGTGTGCCTGGCGACGGGAGTTTGCCTTCTGAGTCACAGTCTCTGTCTTCCTGCCCAACTGGGGAGAGTGGGCGAGGACCGGGTGAGAGTGGGGTGGGGTGGACAGGTGGGACCCGTTGGACAGTTAGCGCAGGGGCAGCAGGTGATCTCTAGAGCCCAGGAGAGCCGCGGAGCTGGCACTGTAGCTGGAGCTCACAGGCACCTGTACGGTGACCCCTGCGGGCGCCAGGGCGGGGACGCGCTCACCTGCGCCCACGTGACGGGGCGGGGCTCTGTCCGCAGAGGGCCCTTAGCCACGCCCTCTCGGCGCGCGACACGCCCGGACCCCGCGGACCGGATCGGTGGTGGTGGCGGCGGCGGCGGCGGCGGCCAAGCCCGGGAGGCGGAGGCGGGACGCGGGAGGCGGTGGCGGCTGTGCGCGCGGAGACGTAGCAGCGGCAGCATGTCGGCCGGCGGAGCAGTCCCGCCGCCCCCGAACCCCGCTGTGTCCTTCCCGGCGCCCAGGGTCACCCTGCCCGTTGGCGCCGACATCCTGCGGACCTACTCCGGAGCTTTCGTCTGCCTGGAGATTGTAAGTGGGGGTAACGTAGGCGACGATCGAGCCCCGGGAGCAGGGACAGGCAGCATCCTTGCCCCTAGCCCGGTCTGGTCCCCCCGGTGACCTCCTTGCTCTAGAAGTGGCCTTTGCCTGTCCATGGTCTCGGGGTCCTCTCCGGAGACGCTGTGCCGGGGCCTCTTGCTTGGCACCTGTTACGCGGACACCTGCTCGCAGGCCTGGAGTGCACATGTCCTCTAGAGAGCGAGCAGGCTGAAGGGCCCTAGATTAGGGACTTGGGCAGCAGAGGGGTGTTAGCGCTTGGAGCAGTCGCGGGGACTCGGGCTTTGGACAGGGCTTGGCTAGAGGAGGAAACGAGCGCCCTCGGCCCCTCCTGTCGCCAACCTGCCATTTTGTTGGGTGGCGCAAAGGTGTGCGGGTCGATGACTGGGTGGACAGGAAGCTGGGAGGATGTGGAAAGCCTGGGCAGGAGGCGCCAGGGAAAGGAGGAGCAGGAGGAGGCTGAAGCCTGGGCATGAGTTTCACCCTACTCACCCTTGTCAGCGTCGTTGCCCTTTGGATTGGGGAAGAGCAGGGCAGGGAGGACGGTGAGATTGTAGGCGCAGTTGGCAGAGTGTCATCAAGTGAGAACGGTGGGGGAAAGTGGAAGACTTGGGGCTGTCAGCTACAACTCCTGCCTTTGCCCCGTGTCCCTTTTCAGTTTACCTGAGAATTCCAAACCTTCTGGGAAGGAACACTTCGCTTGGACCTAGTGAAAGGTGGTGTCACAGGCGCGCCCTGCAACCTTGTTGAACTAGACACTTGAACTTGGGAAAGGAATGCTGTGGAGTTGGGAGCTTTTGAATCTCCTTGTGGACAAGGGGGGGATGTGTAAATATAAATTGGGCAACTGGGGTTGCATCATGCCCGGAGAATGTCAAATAGAAAGAAATGTTAGCAAGGCAGGGCCTTTCCTGCAGGCGGGTTTTGTTTGCCCCGTTTAGGGTTTTCATGTCACTCATCCTCTCCTGTGACTTTGCATAACCTGGAACTGGGTCACTCTGGCTTCCCTTTTGTGCTGTGGAGCTGAAAACCTTGCGAGCCCTGGTTTTTCTGCCCCACTATGCTTTGGTAGCCAAGCCACCTTGGGTTTGGCTCCGATTTGAATCGGAAAGCAGAGACCCAAGCTAGTGAGTCATTGGCTGTGGCAGCCGTGATCCGATAGACCGTGAGACTAGAAGACCCTGGTGTGGGTTCGGGTTCAAGCCCAGTACAGCAGCGTAGGAATGAGACTGCGCTGAGTCGCAGGCATCCATAGGAGAGGAACAGGGAGGAAGTGGCATTGGACCAGCCTCCTGGCTGTGGAGACACACAACCCTTAAAACAGTAAGCTTTGGAAAGGAAGAGTTCACAGATTCTGGGCTCCTGTCCTGCCATGTTCAAGTTTCACATGCTCGCTTCCTCTTTCAAGAGTTCTTCCCACGTCTTCACCTACCTCCTGCTTACCCTGATATTTAAAGCAGGTCCACACATCCACCATAGACTCCCATTCACTGAGATCCTGACTTGCCAACCCTTTGGTGTTGGCCAAGCTATCCTTACCCAATGCATATTTACCATATATTTGTATAAGTTTAATACAAAGTTGATATTACAAAACCAAGCCTTTTAGCTCAGGCTGAAAACATTAACACCAAAAATTATCATTTTCAAGGTCCAGGACAAAGGATCAATGAGTAAAGGACTTGTTGCAAAATTGTGAGGACCTGTGTTCAAATCCCAAGAACTCTTGAAAAGCTGCCCTCCGTGGTAGACTCTAACTTTTGGCTAGAGTCTCAGCAGCAGCAGTAGTATACATTGCATCTCAAATTTGATATGTTGGTTACACATTTTTAATATTTATTCAAATACATTTATACAATTAATTTGTATGTATATGCATACATGGAATATGTATACACACACACACACACACACACACACACACACACGTACATGGAAACATGCGTAGAAGTGTTGTCGACGTGTTACCAAACCAAATGCTACTCAGGACCCACCTGTGGGTGCGGCGCACTTTATGGAACACTAGTTCTGAAGGTGACCTATTGAACTCCTCCCAGCTCCATATCTCCTTTCCTTATCTACCACAGTAGTTAGTTCTCAACTCTTGCTGTACTTAATAACTTGGCAGCCTTGAAAAGTACTGTTGCCAGCCCGGACTAATTAAATCAGAGTCTCTAGGGGAGCACCCAGAGTCAGCTAATTTTTTGTTAAGTTCCCTGGAGATACTAATACACAGAATAGCTGCCGCCCACTGATAGCGCCTTTGGACCAGGCTCTGCAGAGAGGAGAAATAAAGAAAATGTTTCTCACAAGTGTGAATGCTTTTCTTGGTCTGGATGGATAGGATGATTAGATCCCGGAAGTGTGGGGAAGTATCCCACACACTTCCAATAAGCAAAGGTTGCCTGCTTCCTGCTTTCTCAGTCTTCCGCTCCTCTGGCAACTTACCTAAGCCTGACACATGTCAGACTCATATCAGAATAGAGGAGTCTCTTCCCAAAAACCATTTGCACTTGTGTGCATGCGTGCATGCGTGTGTGTGTGTGTGTGTGTGTGTGTGTGTGTGTGTGTGTGTGTGTGTGTGTGTGTGTGTACGTGTGCATGTTCAGTTCATGTGGAGGTATGTGTGTGTCAGGCCTCGTGCCTGTATGTTCAAGTGCATATGGAGGCCACAGGACAACCTTGGGTGTCATTCCTCAGGAACTGTCCACCTTTTATTTTTTAATGTTTAATATTTTCTGTTTTAATACTTTGATATTTAAAAGTTTTATATATTGGGGCAAAGGGAGGGCATGCTCATTCCACAACACTTGTTTGGAGGTCAGAGGACAGTTTCAGGAATCAGTTCTCTATTTCCACTATGTCGCTGGGTTCCAGGGACCAAACTCAGGTTCTCAGACATGAGATTAGGCCCTGTTCCCCACTGAGTCATCTCACCATCCTGTCCACTCTTTGGGGCATAGGGATCAGGATGAGCAAGATCTCTTACTGGCCTGTAACTTGCCAAGTAGAATAGGCTGGCTGGCTAGGGTTCAGCTTGGCTCTACCTGTGTAGCCATGAGATAACACAGCCCCAGAGGCAGCTTTTCTTACGGGAGTCCTGGGGGTTGAAGTCGGGCACTTCAGGATTAAAATGCAAACACTTTACTGAGTAGGCTTCCTTTTTAGCCCCACAGTTTTATTTTTGTGGCCAAACGTCCTTCCAAGTTTAAGTTGACGGTATCTTTTACCTCTTCCCCGAACCTCCTGTTACCTCTCCCCATGGGGAGGATCAAAATGTACCTTTGAAACCAGTGACCTCAGGGAGATGAGAGGCCACTTTGAGCGAAACCAACAGTTCCTTCTTGGCCCCCATCCTTCTGGAATGCTTAGTGATACTGGATCGTAAGATTAAGAAAGCAGCCTGCAGGCAACCTTGGTGGTCTACCTAGGAAGCCGACTCCAAGTGATGTACAGGCAAGAGCCAAGTCATTCATTTGAAGCACCTTTATTCCTAAGTTTCACAGTTGCCCTAGGAGTTTTGATTCCTAAGTCACAGACTCCCATGGCTCCTCTTCAGAAATTATTCTCCCTGTAAATTAAATGTGAACATTCCCTAGGCACAGTCTCAGACACCAAGTGAACTCCAGCCTGGAACCAATTATTTTAGCTTCTGACGATGTTTCTGGATATCTCTAGACTCCTTTCTAATTTTGACCTTCCATTGAGATCCATTTATCTCCAAGATTTCTTCCTCCTGGTCATGTTGCTTTCTGGAGCTATTTATGCAAACTGTGTTCAGTAAAGACTCAGCTAATGAAACTATGGTCTTGGAATTCAGTTTTCATACTAACTTTGCTCTAGGAATTTAATTCCAGTCTCTGGTACAGTACTGTACTCATGACTCTCTGTAAATACTACCTGCCACTAGAACCAAGTAAGGCAGTTTACAACATCTGTTTCATAAGCAAGGACTGTACCGACTTTGCATTGGTGATATGATTTTTTTGAAATAGGTATGTTCTACCACTGAGTTCCTAACTTTCCAGCCCTTTGGTGTTGGCCCAAGCAATCCTTACCCAATGCATGTTTACCATGTATTTGTATAAGTTTAACACAAAGTTGATATTGTGAAACCAAGCTCAGGCTGAAAACACTAACACCAAAATTTATCATTTTCAGGGGCCAGGACAAAGGATCAATGAGTAAAGGACTTGTTGCAAAATTGTGAGGACCTGTGTTCAAATCTCAAGAACTTGAAAAACTGCCCTCCGTGGTAGTTTATGTTTGTAGTTGCTCCTGTGTGAGGTGGGAGATAGAGACAGTAGAATCCCTTAACCTCGTGAGCCCGAGAGTCTGATCTAGGTGGCAGTGAACAAAACAGACCCTTTCTCAAACAGTGGAAATGCTGAGGTTGAACACTCAAGGTTGTCCACATTGGCACAGTGCCATGCGATGGCCACATTTGTTCTCATGAACAAAGCGTTACCATTTTCAGGTCCTCTCGGTGACTCTGGAGTGAGTATTTACTGACTACATACTGTATACAAAACTGTTTGCGTGCCTCCTCAACTGAGAGCCCCTATAATCTAGTTAACAGGATACACAGAAAAAAAGTTGCTTCAATTTGGGGAAGAAAAGCTGTCCTCATATGAAAGGTGAAATACAGCTGAAGCATTTTCTGTCCAGGCCTAGCTGTAATAATATCAGAGTATCTTTACTCTCAGACCACACAAGATACTTGGGTCCTGTTCTCAGTGAAATTACTTTATAAAATGTGTTAAGAAAGGTCAAACACAATACTATTAACTGTTGAAAACAATGACATTGATTTAGTCAGTGAATCTCACAGCTTCAGTGTTGAAGAGAACACCTTCAAATTATTTATTTGGATTTCTCTTTGTGGGAAATCTCTTTACACATTTTCCAACTAACTATAGTGTTTTAGTGCCAGAATTATTTCACTTTATTTAACGTAATAACATATTAAAAAC